GGGGGGGGGGGGGGGGGGGGGGGGAGGGGCCTGGAAATTAGGGAAAGATAGAACGAATCGTAGAGAACTCCATCCACCAAGAAGTTTTCGTCACCGTTACGCTGTCAATAAGCATCGAACACAAAAATATAATATCAACACTTTTACCCACAATATTAATCTTCGCAAGTAAAATGCATAAGCAAAATCTTTGTGTGGATATTACAATATTTTTTGTTTGTTATATTTAGATTCATTTACACGACCCCTCCCGCAAAAGAACAGACCCACCCTTAATCCAAAGACGTTGAATGACCATGCGCGCTACTGAGTACTGAGATTATCGTCTCTGTGAAATTGTCTCTAAAACGATACTAGCGCCATGATATGAATAATCTTAATCGGCCTTAATATATCTTCACTTGTACAATCGATAGGTTACCTTCTGTAATTTTTAATTATTTTTATTATAATATTATTGTGGACTTTTAGAGAGTCTAAAATTAAGAAGCATATATAGTTGATACTACTTTTTAGATTCCATTTCTAACAACAATATTATAATACCATAATTTTCCATCATAAAGTTCATTCTCATGAAATACTTATGCTCTTTCCACAAATTGTATAAATTTTGAGATATCTATATTTGATGATAAGTATTTAAGTAAAGGATATATTTGCATGTGTACTATACACGTATGTAGTCGTATTCTTATATAAATATAATATGAAGTGACATTTAAACATATATATACAAATATACATAGTTTACAATTAACATATGTCATGTTCAGTATTCTTCATATTTACTAATATAATAACAAAAAGAATACCAAATACTTTCGCAAAATAAAGTATGCATGATATATATATTTTATCAAAATACGAGATGTTCCAAAGTTAACAGTGCTGGACTAATATATTTCGATTATAAAATTAGATTACAACCTACTCATAATATGTTGCATTTAATGAGAGAAAACTTAGAAAAAATACACTATTCACATTAAATTACGGTATAATTTGGAATAATGGACAATTTATCTGATTCATTTAAAGGAGAGTTAGATTCTGTTACATCAACAGATTCTCTGCAATTGATGGCCGATGAATTTCATATTAGACACTTATCAACACCAGATGTTTCAAATATAGAATTATCAAAACGTGTTGCATTATTAGAATTAGAAAATGAGCGACTTCGAATAGATTTAGAAAATATGCGTATTGAACTCAATGCCAGAATTGCTGCTAATGAAGGACTTAAAGGAAAAATCACAGAATTGTATGTAGAAATGCAGTTAGTAGTTCAGGAAAAACAAAAATTACAAAATACTCTAACAGATGTAAAAAATCATTTAGATGCATCAGAAGCATCTGTAAAATGGTATCAATCTCAAGTACATGGTCTACAAGCAAGCAAGAAAACTTTACAATTAGAAATTGATACTTATCAAGGAATTTTGCAGCAAAGACAGCAAACAATAGCAAACATAAATGCTAGATATAAGCAATTAAACATAGATTATACAGAACTTCTTCAAAAACATAGAAAAGAAAAGCAAGACTTGGAATATGAGGTACAAAACTTAAAGACACAAAATCAATCAAACAGTATTTTAGAATCATTAGATATCAATACATCAAGTTCTCCAGATATCTCCACAAAGTTAGAATTAACAGAAGATGAATTAAGAGATACAAAAGCAGAGTTAAAAACATTAGAAAAACGACTTTTAGGTAATGAAGTTTCCAAAACATTGATGGAAAATGCTTTGGCTAAGCAACGTATATTAATTACAACTATGGAAGAAAATATACAGAAATGTGAAACTGAGAAAAATCAAACTGCTGATACATTGCGTAAAACGCAACTTGAAATTCAAAAGTTAAAATCTGAGAATGAAGCATTACAGACTACTCTGTTGTCTTCTAAACAGGAACAAAGTCAGATAGAAGATGCAATCTTTCAATTGCGATTACAGTTAACTAAAATGATTGCACAATATAAACTTTTAAAATCAAAAAATATAGAAGCAGAGGAAAAATTGAATTCAATGCAAGATGTAATAAATGAAAATAAACGTTTAAAAACATTATCATATGAAGCTAACACTGCTTTAATCAGGAAACTTAGACAAGAAAAACGAAAAGTTAAAAGTTTAGAAAATAAACTTCATGGAATTCAAATAAAGGGACATTTAACCACAATGGTATAAAATGTTATTTTATAATGTATATATAAGAGTAGAAGACTTTATTATGGAGGGATTACTTATAATTATCTTATAACTATTTTGTTTCAGAAAAACAAAATGGAAGTTTCTTTACATGAATGCCTAAAACAGGTTTTAATGAGAAATAAAGTAATTTTTTACATTAACTTTTTAATATAAACATTAATTGTTCATTCATAATCTTTTTATTTTTATCAAGATATTTAGTATTAAAACTGGTTTTATCCTACAGGATTTGAAAGATCAATTGAAGGCACTAGCAAAAACTTCGGATGAAAGTATTGATGAAGGATATGGTGACAACAGTATTGTTAGTTCTGTTTCTATAGACATTCCCTCACCAAAATCTATCAGTCCAGTATTATTAGATGCAGCTTCCAATATTTTGCTGCAATGTAAGGACTTTTATAAACCAGTACAAACAGAACTTGAACAGTTAAAATTAAAACTTAATAAACTAAAGGAACAATATACTACATAGTATTAAATTATTTTCAATCATTTATGATTTTATTACATATCCAATGACTGGTATTCATAATATTGATTATAAATTAATTGTACATATACTAACTTATTATTAATTTTATAATTTTATTGTTATAAGCATCCTAAGTTGAACATTTATTTGTATAAATTTTTTTTCAAAACTAACAATTTATACATTCCTAATCGAGATGAAAATGCTATGCACAATTTTAAATACAAAATACAATAAAAAAAGAATTATTTTTATTTGTTACTAAATTACATTAACTCAAGATTGAAACAAAGATATGAATGTATTAATATTACATACATATCGCTAAATTATTATATTGTTACTTTTATAATATATCCTATCTGTTAATTTTCATAAAATGAATGTAATAAAAGAGTCATAGATTCTATTTTATAAACGTTGATTCCTTTCATTTGTAAGTAATATCTATTATAAATGTTATATATATTTTTTTATGATAAATATATATATAGTCACTTCACAGATATTTTTAAAATACTTTTTACATACCTTTTTCTTGATAAATAAGAATTATAATGAAATGACTTTTTTTAAGTAGAAAAAGTGAAAATTACTATTTTGGCAACATTTGTGATATGGTATATAACATGGGAAAATAAGAATTTTATGTAAATAATGTGCTTTGTTCTAATGCAGTGATATTGGATTAATGAAATAGAAATTGCAATATCTAATGAAGTCTTAGGATTTTATCAGAAGTTTTAGAAGCTATTAACTTTGCAACTAAGCAATAATAATATAGAAAATTATAGATTTCAGAAATAATAAAATAAATAAAGGGTCAATAATAGAAGACAAATATATACTTAAGACAAATATATGAAATATAGGATTTTATAGAACGAGAATTGAATGTTTTATTAAGTCTTTTATTAAGCTGTTTGTAACATATTTTGCATTAATCATTTCGAAAACACTATAAATATTATTATATTATAATTCATTTTATTTTTAATTAGCCATACATTAAAATTTTATTCATGGAAAATTTTTTTGTTTATTGCATTTAATATTTGCTTAATATTAGTGCAATTTATATATAAAAGATTTTTTCATTGAATATTTTTATTACATTTGTAAGAAACATATATCAAGATTACAAAGATTCTATAGTTATAAATACATACTGAACTTCCAATTTTTAATTTTTGGCATAAAAAGTTATGTACATACATATTTATAAAATAAGCGTACTGAAAATTGAATTACACTTTTCTTCTCTTAAAAATATCACAGGTAAATATAGTATCGATATAAAGAAAACAACAAAGTTTTACTTTGAATGTATTGAACTAAATATAAGTTCTTTGGTACTTGTATGTATAAATAAATATTATATAAAATAAGTTTAAAAATAAAGAAATATTATTCTTTCAATCTGATTTTAGAAATACATTTAATTCATTCATTTTCATCCTTTTTAAAAGAATGTAAGTTCAACATGAAGATACAAAAATATTTACTTCTTTATTTCATATAATAAAAATTTTGTTGTAATGAAAATTAAAGATTTAGAAGAAACTTTTTGTATTATTCCAATTACACTCATATTGAACTAGGTAAAGTATTTTAATATATACAAAATATAATATAAAAAACAAATAGCTATATGGTATATAGATTTCATTACAATTTTCAATCAGACAGTTCTTTGTTCATTTTTGTTAAGACAAAGTGAAAATAAAGGTATTTTATATTGATTTACAGTATATTACTTTATATTATTTAAAATATAATTTACAAAAAATGCATAATATTATTGTTTTATGTTGTATTTTGTTTAAAAAAGAATAAAAATAATTAATCTTTTTTACGTAATTTTACATGTGCTGAAATATTTTATCGTTTATAAAAGCATTTTCTATTCTATTTTTAGAGATCATAATTACCTTAACAATATATAACTAATGTCAAATGTATTTTGCTAAATGTCATTGCTATAAAGAAGAATTTACATTATTATAATAAAATTAATATCTTAATTTATTTGAATTGGAATGATCTAATGTTTTCATTCTTTAAAATTTTTTCCTATTTTATGTTATTACTCTTTTTCAAATATCACAATTACAAGGAAGATTTTTACATATTAACAAAACCTACTTTTGCACCCAACAAAGAAATATTTACAATAAATCTCTTTTTTAACAAGATGTTCAAAAATAAAATGAAGAAAACAAAATACAAATAAATTACAAAAATCAAAGACTTACATTTTTTCAATGTATATACTACATGACTGCAGAAAACATTTTGCGTTGTTCACATTATTTTTTGAATAGTGTTCTTTCAGAAGTAGTGGTTGATTTATACATTAAACCAAAGTTCTCAACTCTTGAGAGAAAGGTATATTTCACATGTTAAACTTGATATATAATAGCATTACATACTTTTTCTAAAGATTTACATTGCTTCTGAATATATGCATAGAGCAAAAGTGAAATTTTCGATTCCTTTAAAAGGAATGAACAGGTATTTCTTTAAACACTGATCCATGTCTGCTCTGTTATATAGTACAATCTATATTATTAATAAATTTTTATATTAATAAATTTTAATAAATGAGTATTGTAAGTTATGAAATTTATGTAAAAATGATTAATTTGAAAGTGATACATGTTATTTTTATACTCCGAGACTGCTAAATTTTAAATGACTGGTATAAAATATTTTTAGTATAACATTTTGATTGGGTATCTTTTCTTTCTTTTGCTTGTTTGTAATATGCTACAGTACTTACAGCTCTGTATACATATTTATATTTAAAAAAAGAACTAACTTTTGTACGATTGTAGATCGTTTAAAAGAGCACCATGGCTTCAGGAGTCTTAATGGATTGGAAGTCTCAACATATCCCATTTTATACACCGCTATAACGGGAATATTGCCGAACAATGAAACCTATAATTTTAGTACATAAAAGTGATTTGAAATTAAACAGTTATTATATAATACATACACAATTATGCTACTAATGCTGTTCATATTATTGTATACACTTAGCAAAATAGAAGACCAGACAGTAAATAATTTATCTCGAACCCATTGTCATCTGGGAGTAGATTCCGTGTGCCTAACTCTGTCAAATTGACGACGATAATGAGTTCGTCCACGACCTCTGTTTCGATGGCCATGGTTATTATGACCTTGGTAATTATGATGTAGTTGCCTTGATTGATAGTGAGCATGATTTTGTGTCTGTGAGGACTGTTTTGATTGTGGCATTTGCTGAAGGAAATATTTTATTATTAAAGTATTAAAATTAAAAAAACAAAAATTACAAATTATAAATATTAGAATCTTTAGATACATATTATCAATTATATATTTTTTCATTAACAAGTAAAAAATTTATGTAAAAGTTCTATATGATTACTATTTAATTTGTCAATACAATCTTTATCATTATTTTTAACATATAAACATACCATATGATCAACAGGTTGCATATTTTGATTTGAATATGCATTTAAACTGGTTCCCGGAGGGTTGGGTCCTTCAGTAGTAGCACCTGGCTCATCTTCTGTTCTAACCAATGTTTTCACACCTTCGGCTTCTAAGTCAATTATACCACCCCTCCGTTGTTGCCTTAAGAATAATGCTGCCATTTGTTTTTGTAATTCTCTCAGCTCTGCAGTTACTGAAAAATCAATAGCAGCTTCAACATCAATTGGAGGTGGAGCAGACCATAGGCTTTCTACATCGCAATTGATGGATTCTCTACACACAGGGCATATGGCCTGAAACAATATGTTATGTTTAATGGTAACTAGGACTGTCACAAATTTGTTTAGTTCCATATTCATAACTACATATTAGTATACCTGGAATTTATTTGTCGCATCTTGTTGCCATTGTGGCAATTTTTCTTGTTCTTCTCTATAATATCGTTCTGCAGCAGCAACATGCGCTGCTAAACAGTGTGAATGAAAATAATGATAACATTCAGTTTTTGTAAATTCATCTCCTTCTCGAAAACCATACAGACATATGGCACACTGATCCGTTGGAAGATTACTTCTTGTAAGGTGTTCTCTTATTAACTGTTATAATAATATCGCATAGATACAAAACATAGCATATAGCCAATAAAATAATAGTTACAAAAGCACAGTAATAAAACATAACATAATAATATCTAAAGGAGATAATAAATGAAACACTACAAAATCTTGAAGTAACTCTGATATAAATTGAATAGCAATATAATAAAATTTAAATATAACTCTTGTACATACATTTTACACAAGCTCAATGTATACTTCAACATATTTTATTATTCATAGAACACTTTCTAATATGTGATACATACCTCAATGAGTTCAAACATAACTGGTTGACCTATGAAATCCTTACATTTTGCTTCTGCATCTGATTGCATAAGCCTCACTGTATTTTCATCTAAACCTCTGGGATTTCTGAGACTAATAGTAGGTGATATATCAGGATATCCCACAGGTAACTGAACAATCAGTGTTACACAAACATATTGAGACTGTGAATCTTCACCAGTTGAGGGAAATAACACAGTTTCAATACATTCTGGTTCACCTCTGAAAAAACATTGATTTTTCACAATACATAAATTTCTAAATTCTCTAATATCAGTTAGTTTGTGGTTCAATGAGAATTTATTATAAAGATTAATAAATATAAGTAAATCATAGAGTATTAAAAATATCAAATTCTTTATTTTACAAATACTACATATATATATATATTATATAATATATATATATATATATATTTAAAAATACTTCTAACAAATAATAACTAATATAATCAATATATGATATTGTATAAAATTATAACACTGACAGTGTTATTAAGGAATATCTGTTAAGCCTCCAATTTCATACATTTGTATGAAGATAAATATTCTTATATTATATTCCTTTATATTATTTATATTTTTTATATTACTTTACTTTACTGTTAAAATTTCTTCCTTTCCTATATAAGTACATATATAAATATTAAATTTAAAATGCTTTGTTAATGGAACAAATATTTAAATCATAAATAACATTTTCTAATGGTACATTACCTATAATTTATAATAATTGAAAGTCTCAAAATGACAATTGATTTAGTTCATTTATTAGGTTACAAACATTACATTCCCTAAAAAAACCTACCTGTCATTTTCTTTTATATTTAATTCATCGTCAAGCAATATCGCTTTTAGTGCTTCAATTTCGTCAGTTACTCT